ACAATGTAATATAGCTTATTGTACATTTTCCAACAAAGGAAGTTGGTCCCAAATCATAAGATAAAGCATATTTCATACACTAAAGCATAACAAGGAACTTTACGACTTTACCTCAAGAGATCATCTACTTGGATATATGGAAGAATACCTTCTGTGAAAAATAAATATAAAGCGTAGTCTGTTTTAAAATAAGCTGGCACAGCGCAATCAATGCATGCATATAGAAAAGTATGTTAAAAAATTGAGCTCTCAAACAATCACCCTCTTAATTGGAATGAACTTCAAAGAAATAGAAACCTGCTGCCTTCTTAGCATAATGCTTAAACTTTAAACAAGCTTTTCTCATCCTTTAATGAAAAGATTTTTACAGGTAACTACTAAGTATTATCCCATGGCTACAACTGTGCTCTTCTAATGCATCAAATAAGGTCATTTGTGTAAAAACCTTAGTGAGCAAGCAGCTGTTAAAAATAGTAGACCCAAAAAATAAGTTCACTAGGCAGATAACAGATTGAAATCGGAAGCGAATACCAAAATGTAATATAGGCGAAGTATACAGGGAGAGAGATTATCTACAAGACAGGTTAAATGCCACATTACTCCACAATTTTATATACTTAGGAAGAGAACATTGAAGAGTAGCAAGGTATCTAAGAAAAAAAATACAAACCGTCCGTACCCTATATTATTTATGTGATATGAAAGCAAGCGAAATTTTCCATCAGGAGGCACAAAGGAAATAACACGCTCCCGCTCCCATCGAAGATATCTAACACAAGGATGGAGGCTAGCATCGTCCAAGAGTCTAGGATTTACGAACGTCATTGTTAAATCTGGCATGCCAGAGAGTTTGGTCAAGCAATCGATCTGGGAGTTAAACAAAATTAAGCAAGAGTATAGAGAAAATGGATATTCGTTAAGCAGAGAAGATGAATATTAATATTAAGAAACAAAATATCATACATATCCAGCAATTTCTGCACAAACAACATTGCCGGACTTATCAATGATGGCATGGAGATCCTCTGTCACATCAAAGTAGGCCTCGTTATTTGTATATTTAACACCAGACCTCCGCCATCGAACGTTCGTAAGTTGACTCGAAGGCAGAGTTTCACTAATATTAGTTTGTTTTCCAGTTACAGCTGTTGTAAATGATCTTAGAAGAGTAGGCGGACGAATGAGTTCTTTCAAGATATTGGATTCCGTCGACAATGGAAAGCCATTATCAAGCATCTCATCTAACAACTGCACAAATCAAATAAAAAATCTGACCTCATAGACACAGACAATGTTTTCCTTGATTGTGCGTTCATTTGCAGAATTAAAATAATCTTCTATGATGGATGCGACTCGATGGAGAAATTCAATAACAAACAAAGGGGGCACTAAAGCATAAATTACAAAAAGCATTACCTTCCGATGCGCAAACTGCGACATAAAACACGTTGAATTTAAATATATGTACCAATAAATAGGAGGGCGTTTCTAGAACAGGGGGTATCTCAATTGGAGAAGAAGCCTTAAAATGAAGGAATAATGACGTACTTTTGACTCAGCTTCAAAAAAATAATCACAAACATTTTTGGGGACAACACTTTTCCAGTGCTTCTCGAGAAAAATATCACTAAATAAAAAACAAATACAATCGCGATCGACGACAAACCTAGCCTGGTTGATTAAGAAGAGACTATGGATCATTTGAAAATAGAGCCTTTAATAATACGTGTAAAAAATTTTAGAACTAATCTTTACTTATATTTACACTTTTTAAATCAATTTAAAT